CTACTACTCTACTATTACTACTACGGCTACTACTACTACTACTACTACTACACTACTACTCTACGACACTACTGCTACTACTACTACTAATACTACTACTACTGCTACTACTACTACGACTACTACTACGACTGCACGAACGCTACCAGTACTACTACTACTACTACTACTACTACTACTACTACTACTACTACTACTACTACTTCTACTACTACTACTACTACTACTACTACTACTACTACTACTACGACTACTACTCTTACTACTACTACTACTACTCTTACTACTACTATTACATCTACCGCGACGACGACTACTACTACTACTACTACTACTACTACTACTATCACTGCTACTACTACTACTACTACTCCTAGTCCTACTCCTCCTTCCTTACTACAATTACTACTACGACGACTACTACTACTAGTACCACCGACCGCTACTACTACTACTACTACTACTACTACTACTACTACTACTACTACTACTACTACTGACTACTAATACTAATACTACTACTACTACTACTATTACTACTACTACTACTACTACTACTACTACTACTACTACTACTACTCTACTACTACTACTACTACTACTACTACTTCTACTACTACTACTACTACTACTACTACTACTACTACTACTACTACTACTATTACTACTACTACTACTACTAACTACTACTACTACTACTACTACTACTCTACTATTACTACTACGACCACTTCTAATACTCATACTCCTCATACTACTGCTTCTTCTACTACTATACTACTACACTACTACTACCACTACTACTACTACTACTATTATTACTACTACTACTACTACTACTACTACTACTACTACTACTTCTACTACGACTACTACATTAGTACTAGTACAACCGCCGCTTTACTACTACTACTACTACTCTACTAGTACTACTACCACTACTACTACTACTACTACTACTACTACTACTACTACTACTACTATACTACTCAACTACTACTACTACGACTACTACTACGACTACTACCACTACTACTACTACTACTTATATTCATGCTACTGCTACACTACCCTACTATTACGACTACTACTACTACACTACACTACTACTACTACTACCTACTACTACTACTACCTACTACTACTCTACTACTACTACGACTACTACCTACTAACTACTACTACTACTACTACTACGACTACTACGACTACTACTACTACACTACTACTACTACTACTACTACTACTACTACTACTACTACTACTACTACTACTACTACTACTACTACTACTACCACTACTACTACTACTACTACTACTACTACTACTACTACTACTACTACTACTACTACTACTACTACTACTACTACTACTGCTATTGCTACTGCTACTTCTACTAGTACTATTACTGCTACGCCAACGCGCCCAAAGAACGCACCGTGTCGCCCGAAGCACCCGCCTCCCGCCAACCGCGCCTTTTCAATATTACCCTAAAGAACGCAACGCAGGCGAGCCACCCTTGCGCGTCCTTGCGCGTCATTGCGCGCATGGCGCGCGCCGCGCCGCTCGCAGCAGGGTGCCTTCGCGGGCGCAGAGCAGGCAGGGTGCCCTTACACGTCCTTGCACACGTGGGGCGCGCCGCGCCACTTGGGGAGCGAGGCGCTCCAAGGACGCGTTGCAGACAGGGTGCCCTTGCGCGTCCTTGCCAGCGCAGCGCGCGCCGCGCCACCAAAGGGGCGAGGCGCCCCAAGGACGCGGGACAGACAGGGTACCCTTGAGCGTCCTTGCCCGCGCAGCGCGCGCCGCGGCACCCGAGGGGCGAGGCGCGCCAAGGACGCGGGGCAGACAGGGTGCCCTTGCGCGCCCTTGCCCGCGCTGTGCGCGCCGCGGCACCCGAGGGGCGAGAAGCGCCCCAAGGACGTGGAGCAGTCAGGGTCTCCTTGCGCGTCCTTGCCCCCGCAGCGCGGCGCAGCATGCGCCGCGTTGCCCACCAGACCGCGCGCCGTTTGATGTTGTCGCCCTGGCCAGAAGGACGAGCAGATTTTCAGAGTACCCTTGCGTCCTTGCGATGCTGCCCAACCAGGCGCCAACGCTTATTCGGTAAGGACGCAGGTGAGTCAGGGCACCCTCGCGCCCCTGGGGATTTCGTCGTCCGCCGCCCCGCCGCCCCCAAAACATCCAAACTTCGGTGTCCAAGGGTCTTGCGTCCTTACCACCCGTCCTTCTTATAGATGTTGACCGTATGCGCCTTGCTGTTTTACCGCATGTCGGTTTGATGGGTGCATGGTGTCTTGGTGACAGGTTTGGTGTTAGGCAATATTGCCTCGGGCTTCTTGCTCTGATGGATGTAACCCTTAATGTGCACGGCGCTGGAGTCTCGCATCTCCTATTAGAGATGTCGGGCATCTGCGTTGCGCCGTGGTAGTATCACTGCACGGCGGGGTCAGTGAATTAGCGTCGTGCGGGCTTGCATAGCTGTGGTTGGCCACAGAAGCTGAGCGTTTCACCATCATCGCCCTAGCCATCCCTATCACCGCCATGGGTACCACCACGGTGAGCCCAACATTATCAGGCCCGTCATGGTATCATGGTTGAAATTGCCACCATCATCAGTCTTACCGCCGCCGCTACCGTCACCGCCAACGGGCGGGAGCTCTGGGCGGCCATCCTTGCCGCGGGTCCCAACGAGGGCTGGGCTGGAGCCCTCGTGCCCCCACGGGGCCATTTGTGGGTCCGTATGAAGCCTCCTTCACGGCCAACTTGCGCGGCCGCGGGTGAGTCACTTGCGTGGCGCGCGCTACGGAGGGAACCGTATGGAATACGACTGCGCCAGCTTATGCTGAGACCCAGAACTCTAATTTTACACATGGTTTCCCCCAATCAGGTTTCGGGCGACCCGCCCGCGGTTTGGTCACGTGGGTGGTGCGCGCTACACACGCGGAGTCGGGTGGAGCACGACAGCACCAACTCATGCTGCAACCCAGAAATCGAATTAGACCATTGGTTTTGCCAATGCAGTTGTCGGGTGACCCGCCCGCGGGTGGGTCACCTGCGTGGTGCGTGCCACATAAGGAGCCATATGGATCACGACTGCACCAACTAATGTTGAAGGTCAGTACGCCCAAATTCGGGTGATCAGCCCGCTGCACAGGGACTTGTATGTAATGCGAGTACACCAACTCGTGTCGACTTCCAGAACTCAAAGTTCGAGTGTTTTGTTCCAGCCAGTTTTCTGGTGACACCCTCGTAGTGCACGCTACACGGGGAAATGTGTGGACGACGACTGCACCAACTCATGCTGAGGCCCAGAACTTCAATGCCGCAATTGGTCGTCCCAACCAGTGTTCGGGTCACCCGCCCGCGGGTTGGTCACCAGCGCGGCGCGCGCATCGCAACGAAGCGTATGGAGTGCGACTGCACTAACTCATGTCGGATTTGACAGTTGGTTTCGCCAACCAGTTTCGGGTGACCCGACCACGGGTGGGTCACCTGTGCGGCGCGCGCTGCACAGGGAATCGTGTGGAGTACGACTTCACCAACTCATTTAGAGGCCCATGCGTCAAAAGCACAATTGGTTTACCCCGCCATGTTTTTGGGTGACCCGCCCGCGGGTGGGTCACCTGTGTGGTGCGCGCTAAACGGGGACTCGTGTGGAGTACGATTGCACCAACCTTCGTTGGGCCCCCAAACCCCAAATTTAGAATTGGTTTCCACAGCCACGTTTTCGGGTGACCCGCCCGCGGGTGGGTCACCAGTAAGGGGCCCAGTGCACAGGGAATCGCATAGAGCACTTCCGCGCCAATTCATGTTGAAGGCCCAGAAGTCAAAATTTGCCATTGACCCCCCCAAACAGTTTTCGGGTGACCCGCCTGCGGGTGGGTCGCCTGCGTGGTGCGCGCTACAAAGGGAATTGAGTGAGACTGCGCCAACTTTTGTTGAGTCCCAGAACTTCAATTTTACACTTGTTTCTGCCAGCCAGTTTTCGGGTGACCCGCCCGCAGGTGGGTCAGGTCACCTGCGTGGTGCGCTTTACGCCACGAAACGTACGGAGTACGACTGCACCGACTCACGTTGAGGCCCATAAGTGTAATGTACAATTCTAGACGCTTCGCGTATCCCCACCAGCCCGTCCAGAAACGACGCCCAGGCGAGTAGAGGGTCGTCCTGAGGGGCTTTTCGGCGTCTTGGGTGCCTCGGGGGGGCCTCTTTGGGCCGTTTGGGATCCTCTTGGGGGCCTCCTGGGGGCCTCTTGGGGCCATCTTGGGGCCATCTTGGTGCCTCCTGGGCGCTTCTTGGGGCCATCTTGGAGGAAATCGATCAAAGAAGAGGGGAGCTTCAATTAGCGCTGCCCCCTCAGAAGGCCAAAATGGGGCCAAAACCTTAGTAAAATCAATGATTTTGGCTTCCTCGGCGAGGCCGTTTTGGACGCTCTGACCGCTCCCCGCCCCCCCTGTCCAGGTCAGTGGGGAGGGGGTAGGGGGAGGGGTAGACCCCTCCCCGAAGGGGAAGAAGGAGGGGTGGAAGAGGAAACTCGTTAAACCACCGACGCCCTAAAGGGCTGGTGGGATTGGGTTTCCCAACCAGCTTTCAGGTGATCCGTCCGCGGGCGGGTTGCCTGATTTGCGTGCGATTCAGTGATGTGTGTGTATGGTGAAGGCCACGTTGGCTCTTCTCGGGCTAACGTCTCCATGTTGCGATGAAGTCTCAGGCGAAACGGCCCCAAGCGGCCCTGCAAAGGCCCCAAAGGTGAAGCATAATGGCTTCCTCATCCGTAGCAATTTTGGCTCCAGCCATGCTGCGTGCGGCGGCGGCCAAACGGGTGCGCAAACCCAATAGGAGGAAGCGGGACCGCCGCCGCACGCGGGACAATGGCTATGGCCGCGGCGGGCGCCGCCTGCCATCCACCGACCACGTGGCGACGCCCTCGCCGCCCCGGCGGCGGCAGCGGGCGGGCTCGGCGGGGCCCGCGGCGGCCGCGCGGACGCCTGCGCGAGCGGGCCCGCCGCCGCCAGCTGGGCCGCCAGCCCCGGCGCCGCCGGCGCCCCGCCGCGGCGCGGGCGAAACTCCCGCGGAGGGCGGGGTGCAGTGCCAGCTCGACCAGGCGACAGAGCACGCGCACGACATCCACGGGCTGCTCGAGGAGTACGAGGGGCACGGCATGCCGCGGTTCAATTAAATAGAGAGGCCACCCGACCTTAACTGTAGTATGCGGGCAATTTTAGTGGATTGGTTGGTGGAGGTTGCAATGCAGCACGAACTGAAGCTGGAGACGTTATTCCTCACTGTCAGCATCATCGACAGGTTCCTCTACCAAAGGGAGACGTCTAGGGAGAAATAACAGCTCGTCGGCGCCGCGGCGATCACGATCGCGGCGAAGACGATCGCGGCGAAGTTCGAGGAGGGCAAGGCCGTCCTCATCACAGGCAGCGCGTTCAAGAAGGGGGACATCCATCAGATGGAGGTGTGCATTCTCACGGAGCTGGAGTTTGTCATCTGCTTCCCCACGGCGGCCCATTTCTTGCGGCGCTTCCAGCGCCTCAACCAGTGCCCCGAGGACTCGGCGCATGGCCACCTGCTGCATTACCTCTTGGAACTCACCTTGATGGATGTCCACATGATCAGGTACGAGCCTTCTCGCCTGGTGGCGGCAGCCGCCCTGCTGAGCAACAAGCTGATGAAGCAGCAGCCCTCGTGGCCGCCCTTGCTTGCAACTCGCTGCAAATTCGACCTGCCAGCAGTGACGGTTTGCGCGCAGGAGATGTGCAGCATCCTCGAGGCCGCCCAGTCCAGCCCGCTCCAGGCTGCGCGGAAGAAGTTTTCCCACAGCAGTAGGTCCAGCGTCGCCGCTCAGCGTTGGCGCTGAGGACACGGAGGAGGAGGACAGGAGGAGGAGGAAGAGGAGGAGGAGGAGGAGAGGAGGAGGAGAAAGGGGAGGAGGAGGCAGATAACGGTGAAAAAAACAGGGAGGAGAAGGAGGACGAGGACGGAGGAGGAGGAGGACGAGGAGGAGGAGGAGGAGGAGAACGAGGAGGAGGAGGAGGGAGGGAACAATGAGGGGGGGAGGGGGAAGGAGAGGAGGAGGAGGAGGAAGAGGAGGAGGATGAGTCGGAGGAGGAGAGGAGGAGGAGGAAGGAGAGGAGGAGAGGGGAGGAGGAGGAGGAGAGAGAGAGGAGGAGGAGGAAGAGGAGAACAATGAGGGGTGGAGGGGAAGAGAGCAGGAGGAGGAAGAGGAGGAGGAGTCGGAGGGAGGAGGAGAGGAGAGGAGGAGAGGAGGAGGAGGAGAGACGGAGAGGAGAGGAGGAGGAGGAGGAGGAGAGGAGGAAGAGGACGAGAGCAGGAGGAGAGGAGGAGGAGAGGAGGAGGGGAGGAGGAGGAGGAGAGGGAGAGGAGGAGGAGAGGAGGAGGGAGGAGGATTGGAAGCGGAGGGTGGCGGAGGAGGAGAGGAGAGGAGGGGAGAGAAGGAACGGAGGAGGCGGAGAGAGGGGAGGGAGGGAGGGCGCGGGAGCTGCGGCAGTCAGAGCGTGATCTGCTGGCTGTCCGGGGCGCAAGGCCGCCGGCTCGGAGGGAAGTGTCTGCTCCTCGTCGTCCTCCTCCTCCCTCCGCCCCGACGTCCTCCTCCTCCTCCACCTCGTCCGTCCTCCCCTTCCTCCTCCTCTTACTCCTCCTCCTCCCCTTCCCCCTTCCCCCCTGGACGTCGCCTGCTGGTGACACTGCCACTGGCTTTTTTTACTCGCACAGGTTTTGCTGCCGGATGCGCGGCTGCGAAACATGAGGACGCCGTGCAGACGCCGGCAGACGGCGGCGGCGACGACGAGGGGGAGGGGGACGAAGGCGAGGGGGAGGAAGAGGAGGAGGAGGAAGAGGGCGAGGACGAAACAGCAGCGGCAGACTCACTCTGTTACGCCACTCTTCAACGCCATTCGGGCACATCGCGCCGAGATGGGGGCCAGGCTCTGGGTAGGGAAGACGGGGCTCGTGTAGGTGCGGGGTCCCACGAATTCAGGACATGCTTAGGGGGAAGGCCCAAACGCCCCCTGAACCCGAATCTCAGCCTGTCGAATACCCGCCACCACCACATCCTCCCCCTCGGTGCCTGACTCTCTTGGTCGAAAACGTGGATGGCGACCCGCGGGCCCCCCCAATCAGACAGGCAAGGAGGGCCACCAAATCGTTTCCGTGCTTCCCATGATTCCCCCAGGAATGCACAGCAGCGCTGTCGCGCATTTCCGCCACCGTTCTTGGGAAAACAGCGAAGGGGCGCCATCGCGTTGGGCGGCTGTAGCGTTGCATGATTGTTGCGTGGCGTCCGGGGGTGCCTTCGGCGAAAGCGCGACGCAGGGCTTCCTAGTCCTAGATGTCGGATTTGGTCGACGAGTGTTTTATTTTTTTCATTTAAGATGTTGATGCAGGACATTTTTCGGCGATGTCGCTTTTCGATGACATTGCCGTCGATGCAGGGGGTGTTCGGTGTAGTGTAGTGTTTGCGGTGCAGTGTTTGTTTGGATGATTGGGCTTGTGGATGAAAGGGGTATTCGATGAATGAGTTTTGCGATGACTGAGCTTTGGGATGGATGGTTCTTTTGGGGTGAATATGTTGTTCGATGGATGCGAAGTGCGTGCATTGTTTTTGCGATGAAAGCGCTTTTGGATGAATGATGTTCTCCGGGAAGGATCTTCATGCATGAGTGCCTCGATGAAGGAGTTAGTTCACGAATAGTTTTTTGATGAAGGGGTTTCGGGTGTGTTCATTGGCGATGTGGCCCCACAGGCGGCTGTGCGCTCACTGGCGCAGTCGCGTTGAAGCGCCCATTGGATCAATTAGCCATGATTGCGTACTACGCTAGGCAAGACTGGTGCTCTTCGGCAACGCGGCCCCCCAAGCGGCTGGGTGTTCGCAGTCGCGTTGACAGCTACGGAACCACGTGGATCGTTACTGGCAATACGTACGGATTCGAAGCCACATGGGCGCTTACTGGCAACTCGTGCAGTCGTAGAGGCCCGAGGTCTTGTTGTGGGCCGTTACTGGTAACTCGAATTGGTCGCCCCGTGCGCGGTTTTCGACGATGACGGCGCGAAAGCGAACACCCACGCATGTCTTTTTGTGGTGGGCTTAGGGGTGCGGGGCCTATGCTGTGCGTTTGTAGGCTCGGTGCCATGCGCCAGGGCGGGCGGACTGCGTGGGTGAACCCCAGGGTGTAGAGCGGAGACCCACTGCTTGGGCCGATGTGTGCGCGTAGCCCATGGGCCTCGTGCGTCAATGACGGTGGCAGGGGGGGGGTCCGCGTTATTCGGTCCAGATGTCAAGGCGCGGCCCACAGCAACCGCGCGCTCTTCGGTACGATAATGGCGCGAATGTGAGCACCTTCGCTCGCGCCCACGGAAGAGTTCGGGACCAGTGTGCTTCGGCGTGCGGTTTGCAGTTGCACGGCTTAGGCTGCGCGGCGGTAGGTTTAGGCTTGGCTCTCAGGGTTAATGCGGGCCCATTGGCCTTAGGTGGGTTTGGCCCATGCCTTTTTAGCTAGGCCAGGCAGCTAATGTCGTGCGATTCATCGGAGGGTATCCTCGGCGTTCCTACAATTCTGTTTATTCTCCCCGGCGAAGGGACTCGCGTTTTGTGCCAGGCTCGTTTGCCTATGTTCTGGCCGAGAGCGATTCGATTGCGGAACCCGACGGTTCGGCATTCATGCCGATAGCGCGTGCGCGCCTCTGCGTCGCCCCGCGCGTCATTGGTCGCCGGCGAGCGTCCAGCTTCGGCGGGCGAGCGACACCCCTCAGCAGAATATTGGGCGTGCCGTCCTGGCGCCCCGCACTTCGTCGCAGCATGTGAGGTGTCCCGCTGCGGCGCCCCACGCTCTTCAGCGACTTCTCGGGTGTGCCGCAGTGGCACCCCACACCTCCTCGCAACCTCTCAGGTGTCCCTCTGCAGCACCCCACACCTCTCGGCAAGATCCTAGGTGTGCCAGACACCCAGGGACCGACACTGTTGGGGGACATTTTGGCGTGTCCGAAATGATTTTGAATGATGGCCTCTAAGATGGTGCATGCCCACCATAACACCAACCTCATCCACCTCCCCCTCGCACAACCAGCGCCGGCGCCAGAAAGGGGAAGTGGGCAGGGTCTGACATCAGGACATGGGGGGGATGGGGTGGGGGCTGGGGGGACGCCGTCGGCACGGGCTTCCTAGCGAAGATTGGGAGATTGGGAGGCCGTGGACCACCCGACCCCTTGGCACAAGAGCCACGCCTAGGGTTCTCCCATTCCCCCTTCTCTGGGGGTGGGGGCCCCGCTCGGGCCCCCCCCCCCACCCCCTCACACTTTCGCACGATTCCTGCCTCTTGTGCTTTCCCTTTTCCTCCAGCGCTAACCCTGCCGCCACCGTGTTCTGTCCGCAGCGCTCTTTCGCTCCACCCGCCCTCCACCCACACCGCCCCCTCAGCCGCGTCTGTCCTGCTCTCTCGATTTAATTCTTAGTTTTCTCGCTTCGCCGAGAGGATTTGTGCGTCTAGATCAGCAGGGACGAGCCCGCTTGGAGCGTTGTGGCTGTCAATCATGACGTCTGGGGTCTGGGGTCGGGCGTTGATGCCCAGACTTCTTAGGTTTTGTGCACCCTCCCCCCGGAGGTTCGAGGGCATCGGCATCCCCGAGTCACCGAAGAGGAGCAGCAGAGGTCGGGACTGGCAGCGACGGAGGAGAACGGGCTGGGGATAGCAGGAGAAAGCGAAAGACTCGTCAGGGATAGGAGAACGGGGAGGGAGAGGAGAACGAGGGAGCGCTGCTGCTCCTCCTCACACGATCTCTTCGTTCCCCCTCCTAATCCACATCCTTGTTCCGTCGTGGGTGGGGGAGGGAGGGAGTGACCGAGAGGGAATGGTGAGAGGACTATGGTAAGGACGAGGGGAAGGGAGAGGAAGGACCAGGAGTAACAGCAGGAGGAACCTCCTCCTCCTTCTCCTCTTCTTTCTCCTCCTCTTCCTCTTCCTCATCCTCCTCCTCCTCCACCTCCTCCTCCTCCTCCTCCTCGTTATCCTGCTCCTCATCCTGCTCCTCCTCCTCCTTCTCCTCCTCCTCCTCCTCCTCCTCCTCCTCTTCCTCCTCCTCCGCCTTATGCTTCTTCTGCTGCTCCTCCTCCTCCTCCTCCTCCTCCTCATCTTCGTGCTCCTCCTGCTGCTCCTCCTCCTCCTCCTCCTCCTTATCCTCCTCCTCCTCCTCCGCCTCCTCCTCCTGCTCCTCCTTCTCCGCATCTTCCTGCCCGTCCCTTCTCCCCCCAACTCCACCCGTGCCCCTCATTTTCTCCAACTGATTCCTCTCCCCTCTCCCCCTCCCTCGTCTCCCCTGGCGACGGCGCCGTCGTCAGCGTCATCGACGGCCTTGTCCTCATCGTCCCTGTCGTCTTCGCTGTCCGCCGCCACGGGCGTGCACCAGGCCCCGTGGCGTTCAGCCTGACCGCCCCGCCTGGCCTGCTGGAATTCCCCGCCAGGGTCTCCGACAACAGGGCGGCGCCGGGAGGGGGCGCCGCCTTCGTTATCGTTTTCGTCGCCGCCGCCGCAGGGAGAAAAGAGATGAGGTGGAGAAGAGGGTGAAGGAGGAGGAGGAGCAGGAGGAGGAGGAGGAGGAGGAGGAGGAGCAGGCGGAGGGGAGAATGACAGAGGTATGAGGAGGAGGGAGGAGGCGAGGAGAGGAGGAGGAGGAGGGAGGAGGAGAGGAGGAGAGAGGAGGAAGGAGGAGGAGGAGCAGGAGGAGGAGAGGGGAGGGGAAAGAAGAAGGAAGAGAAGGGAGGAAGAACCGCAACAGAGCAGAGGAGGAGGAGCATGAGGAGGAGGAGGATGAGGAGAGAGAGGAGGAAGGAGGTAGAGGAGTAAAACAA